TCTAACCAGTCAGCGCACTTATTAACAGAATGACAGCTCTGGGTCCCCACCTGGCTTGATCCCTGTAGGTCTGTCCTCAGGAGCTCTTTGTCCCACACACTGCTCTGGGAGGTAGACGAGAGAAGTGGTTTTAAGATAGGCCATGTGGGTAGTTAAGATGTCATTACTACCTAAAACACTCTACACATTCAATGCAATTCCCATCAAAATTGCACCAGCATACTTCTCAAAACTAGAACAAACTATCCAAAAATTTGTATGGAACCACAAAAGACCACGAATAGCCAAAGTAATACTGAAAAATAAAACCAAAACGGGAGGGATCACCATCCCAGACTTTAGCCTCTACTACAAAGCTGTCATCATCAAGACAGTATGGTATTGGCACAAAAACAGACCCATAGACCAATGGAACAGAATTGAGAACTCAGAAGTGGACCCAAAAGTATACAGCCAACTAATTTTTGACAAAGCAGGAAAGAATATCCAATGGAAAAAAGACAGCCTTTTTAACAGATGGTGTTGGGAGAACTGGACAGCAACATGCAGAAGAATGAAACTAGATCATTTTCTCACACCATGCACAAAAATCAACTCAAAATGGATAAAGGACCTGAACATGAGACAGGAAACTATCAACACCCTAGAGGAGAAAGCAGGAAACAACCTCCTTGACCTCCACCGCAGCAACTTCTTACTTGACACATCCCCAAAAGCAAGGGAATCAAGAGCAAAAATAAATTGTTGGGACCTCATCAAGATTAAAAGCTTCTGCACAGCAAAGGAAACAACCCAGAAAATTAATAGGCAACCAACGGAATGGGAAAAGATAGTTGCAAATGACATATCAGATAAAGGGTTAATATCCAGAATCTATAAGGAACTCACCAAACTACACGCCCGAAAAACAAACAACCCAGTGAAGAAATGGGCAGAAGATATGAACAGACACTTCTCCAAAGAGGACATCCAGATGGCCAACAGACACATGAAACGATGCTCAGCATCGCTCCTCATCAGGGAAATACAAATCAAAACCACACTGAGATACCACCTCACGCCAGTCAGAGTGGCTAAAATGAGCAAATCAGAGAACTCTAGATGCTGGCGAGGATGTGGAGAAACGGGCACCCTCCTACACTGTTGGTGGGAATGTAAACTGGTACAGCCCCTCTGGAAAACAGTGTGGAGGTTCCTCAGGAAACTAACAATAGAACTCCCCTAAGACCCAGCAATAGCACTGCTAGGAATTTACCCAAGGGATACAGAAATGCTGATGCATAGGAGCACATGTACCCCAATGTTCATAGCAGCACTCTCCACAATAGCTAAAACATGGAAAGAGCCTAAGTGTCCATCAACAGATGAATGGATCAAGAAGATGTGGTTTATCTATACGATGGAATACTACATGGCAATGAGAAACAATGAAATCTGGCCATGTGTAGCAACATGGATGGACCTTGAGGGTGTTATGCTGAGCGAAATAAGTCAGGCAGAGAAGGACAAATATCATATGTGTGCACGTATAGGAGGACTAGGAGGAACTTAACAGAGGACCAACCGGGAGAAGAAGGGGGGAAATAGTGGGGGAAAGGGAGAGAGGCAAACCATGAGAGACTCTTGAATGCTGACAAAAACTGAGGACTGATGGATGTGGGGGGGAGGAGGGATGGGCATGGAGGAGGGCACTTATGGGGATGAGCACTGGGTGTTATGTGGAAACTAATTTGACAATAAACTATTTGTAAAAAAAAAAAAAAAGATAGGCCATGTGGGGAAAGTGAGGTGGACCCATAATGTGACCTTCCAGCCTGTACCTTACAATGGTTGCTCAGTGTTCTGGGTTCTGCCTACCCTGCTTCTTGTGTGTTCTCCCAGAGTAACATCCTCTAGACTCTATTGGATGATTGCCTGCCTGGGGGCTTCACTGGCCAATGGGCCATCACTCAGGTTTTGCTTTTCCTGATAGTTCTTGACAGGTTACTCTTAGCTCTTGGCAAAACTGTGAAATAGCAGCTCACCAGCCAACTCCTCTATTAATCTCCGTTTCCCTTTCTCCCTCACCTTCCCCACCAACTTGGCTTCCTTCCCATGCCTAACGGCACTAATTATTTCTTTGTTCATTTGCTAGTTACATGTATATTAAGTGTCTGTTGTGTGTCAGACACTGTGCTAGGTGTTGTAAACACACAGATGAACAAGATACACTTCCCATCCTGAGGAGTGCATAGTTGAGTGGACTTTCTTGCCCAGATGTTACCTGATAACTTAGGTGATACCTGTGAAGGCTTTCCATGTGACCCAGGGGAGTTGGATTTTAATGGGTAAACCAAGAAGATGAATAATCCTTCAAGACTCAGATGGCTGCTTCTGCAGTGGTGGGTCATAGCAGAGGGTCACTCTGTTGGAGCTTAAGACCCCACCCCGCTTCATGCTTGTGTAGCCTGGCCTTCTCTTGATGGGCCAGTGATTCTAATTACACTCAAGGGCAGGTTTCTGGGTCAGAGGATTCTCTAGGATCTTAGGCCTGAGGTTGTGAAAAGTGATTTGGTTCATTCTTCTGCCTTCAGGGCTGGCCTGTGCTTATGCCTTTTGGGGCAGGAGGGTGTCTGTCCAGACAAATCCGTTCTACATCTGGCCTTGGTGACATATTCTCTAGTGGGATGGACAGTGGCCTCCTTTCCTTGAGGCTGGTCCCTGTTCATGGGGCCTGGGACTCTTCAGGGCTGGGCCTTGCTATGGATGCAATGACTGTGTCTCTAGGTTTTCTCAGCAGCCTTTTCCTCTCAGGCTGAGCAATGCCTGGTCCTTTACTGCACTGAGGGGCTCTGCTGCAGTGACCCTAGGCCTAGCACTGACCCTCCCAGTGGGCACAGGGAATCTGTATCTGGGCCACCTCGTAAGGCTACTTTAATTCCCTCTGACGCCTTTGGTGGGCCCTGGGGCCAGACATGAGGACAGAGTGGATAAAGATGAGCACAGTCTCTGCACCACCCCCTCAGCACCCCCACTTGCTCCTGGTCTGTCCTCTGACTCGGCTCTAGGTAGCTTTAGGTGTAACTGCCTTAGACTTGAGGGAGGGTTCTTATAGGGATCGAGGAACCCTGGTTTGGGATGGAAATGCCTCTGCTTTCCAGATGGCTTCCTACCTGCCTGAGGCCTTGTCACCCTTGGCTTGGGCTGGGCCCAGAAGGAGGAGGCCTTCCTCTCTCCCTGGGTCTGGTGGGTGGATCCCCAGTCACTGACCATCACCTCATAGGTCCTTGGGTGGCCTTAGGGGTCCATGACTTCAGGGCCCTGACAGCTGAGGGCCCCGGGCTGGGGCTGACTCCACAGGCTCCCTTGGCCTCCTTCAGTCTGAGCTTCCTCCCGGGTTCTGGAAGGGGTCTCTCTGTCCGGTCCCCTGCCCTAAAGCCCCTGTGTCCCCTTTAGTCTCAGCATCTTTGCCACCAACTCTCAGGAGCTGAGCTGCTCTCCAGCCACCCACACATCCTTTGCCTGGGTCTTTTGCATACAGACCAGAGTGAATTCCTACTTTAGAAGAAAACAAAAAACAAAACAAAAATGAATTTGCCTTATGATTTTAACGGTTGATAAAGGCTTGCTCTGTGAACCCTCCTAGGAGCATTTGCATTTAATATGGGGAGGAGAATGCTTTAATTAAAAGATATTTCCACTGGGATCTCTGTTGCATCAGATTGATGGGGAGACAGTTTTCAGTTCCCCACAGGTGGCTGGATCTCACTTTTGGGAAGGTGGTCTCTGTCCTGTGTGACAGTGATCCGCTAGGATGGGATTTCCTCTGCCGCTGTTCCCTTCAGTGATCTTTAAAGGGGCCTGTATTCAGGCCTCAGATGAGGGAGTTCTGAGAGAACTGAGGATTCTGTGACTACCCTCAGTAAGGCCAGCCAGGAGATGGACAGTGGCTCTTAGTTCCGAATGGAGGCCACAGGATCAGAGATGCATGGAACTCCCGTGCATCTTCCTTCCCGGCAGCCTTCCAGTCCTATGTGACATTTTATAGGTGGTGATCCTGGGGCTCATGGAGGGGAGGGACATGCCTAACTCACGTCTTGGAGCTGGTGGTCTATCCCTGTGATAAGAAGCAGGCCTGAACTGTAGCTTGGAAGGATTTGTATATTAATGGTTGGTGTGGCCAGAGACACATGGGTGAACCATAGAGGTGTTTGGGAATAGGGCCCTCTCTTACCCCTGGGAATTGGTAAGCACTGGGCTTGATATCAGTAATGGTGAGGAGGATGGCCGAATCTCTGAGGGATGTTCCCATCAGTGTCCATGGCCCCAGGGAAAGGCACTCAGGCAGCAGGAGGCTCAGAAGAATCCCAAGGACCCCCAGGGAACTCTACCTCCTGTCTTGTAGGTGAGAGCTTGAGATATCCACTCTCCTTGGCAGAGTCCCTGGGCTTGAGGGGAGAGGACCCATTTCTCACATCCAGGGTGGGGGGAATAGAAAGTCTGGCTAATCTTCACCCCCTTCTAAAAGTTGGGGCATTGGGTTGGGACCCAGGCAGTGGAGTGGTGGTTGGTCCCCAGCCATGAATCTGTGGGGGCAATGCACCATTTCAGTGGGAATCCAGTTTGAAAGGAAAGGCAAAGGAAATGTTCCCGGAAGGCAGGAGACAGTGGGTGGCATTTTGAGGATACTTGCTGTGTGGTCTCTGTCTGCTAAATTTCAACTGCAAGCCATTACCAGTCATGGATGTAGGCTGTCTGCTATGGGTGGCCCAGTGGTGTGGCCTGAAAATAGAAGAGCAGGGACATAAACTTTTAAGTGGGTTTGCTTGGCCCCCAGCACAGCCTTCTAAGTGGAATTTTTAAGAGGTTGTTCCAGGAAGAGGTTGACTTAAGCAACTTGATGAGTTAGGCTTTCTGAATGGCATTAGGACGAACGCCTTGGTTTCTTTCTGCCCAGCCAGTGATCAAGAGCAAGCCGAAAGTGACCCTGACCAAACACAGTCAAACAGGAGCACAGTCTCTGCTCTTTCAATCACCTTTAATGAAGTCATAGGCAGCAGAATATACAATGTGGCTCAGATACACAGCACAGCAGGGTCTAGATAATAATTTTCCCCACATCTTGGGGAAAAGTGTAATGTGTTATTCCTTTATGAACATTATTTAAAACATATAAACTCCTCACAACATTCTCCAGGAGCTAGAGCCCAAGAGGACCCACTGGGGATCCCTCAAACAGGGGACATATGGGCAGTCTCAGGGGAAGGTTGGGGAGTTTCTCCCCAGCCAGGTGAGGCCACAGTAGCCCCATGCCTTTGCCGGGAGTGTCAGGCAGTGACAAGCAGCGATGAGGGGACAGAGGGGGTCGTAGCGGTGTTTGGCAGCTCTTCAGCATCTTGATCACAAACATCTGACAGGATCTGGTCAGTGGCATTGCCAGTGGGACCAGAGAGGCGGAGGGAACCTTCTTCTCCATGGTGGCAGGAGTGTGCCTCTCTGCTTGAAGAGGGGGAGGAGGTGCGGCGGGAGCAGGGGAGCGCTGGGCTCTCACATTCTTGGTGACCTGGGATGGGGAAGATCAGAAGTCAGGCTATATACTGAGGAGACAGACTCAAGACAGTTAGGGATGTGAAGGAGATGCCTGTATTGCAGAGTTCTAATGGACTCTGGAGTTCTTTTTGCTGGTGACCCAACAGGATGCACTTGTCAGTAGGATGACCAGGGATACTGAGAGAGAAGGGTATGGAGATGCTAGCCAGGATTAGGGTGTAAGAGGAATATAATGTCTTACCACCATATTGGGTATGGAGGAGATGAGGAAAGGAATTGTGGCCCCCTCTAGGTTTTGCAGTGAAATGGGTACAGTGGAAGACATGGGTATGAATGAGTCTGGGTTCTGAGTTTCTCTTATTCTTTGACTCTAATTAGTGAGTGGCCCTTGATGTTACTTGGCCTCAACTTCTTTTCCAAAGTGAGGATAATAACAGCCATCCTGCATGATTCATAGGGGAGCCGTGGCTCAACTAAGGTGACTGTTGTCACCTGAGGAGTGTACTGTGTTATACCAATGATCCAGGCCAAAGTTTCCCTAATAGGAAAAAGTGGAAGAGTTTGGTGTGTCCAGCCTTAGGAACTAAAAGTGAAACCCTGGGGGGAGGTTTGCTTTCTGACTTTGGGGACCCATGCTAAGACCCTCACGGCTTGCACTCCCACTGGAGATGCCTGCTTACCTCAGCTGGACCACAACCTCAGCGTCATGAGCAGATTAAAGCCAACCACCTTCAGGAGGAAGATACGGAGCCCAATCACTATCAGGTTGTGGAGATTTAGGTCCATATCTGCAAAACCAAGAGATTATTGGCATGTACACCCGAGGTCTGCACAGCCCCTGTGACCTACCCACGATTTCCCCCAAAGCCTCAGCTCCTGGCCCGCCTCTTTCTTTTTTTTTTTTTAAAAAAAAATTTTTTTTTAATGTTTTATTTTATTTCTAGGAGAGAGAGAGAGACAGCGTGAGCAGAGGAGGGTCAGAGAGAGAGGGAGTCACAGACTGAAACAGGCTCCAGGCTCTGAGCTGGCAGTCAGCACAGAGCCCGACGCGGGGCTCGAACCCACGAACCGCGAGATCATGACCTAAGCGAAAGTCGGACGCTTAACCGACTAAGCCACCCAGGCGCCCCACTGGCCCACCTCTTTCTTTGAACTTGGGTACACATCCCCTCCTAAGCATATTTGTATGTTCCTCCAGGGTCAACAGGATTCCGTTTCAAAAGGAAAACACCAACTGCACTCAAGTCTTTATTTTATTTCTGCATCCCTCAGGAGCAGGGATGGGGTGGTGTTCAGAACTCACTGTAATCCCTTGGGTCTGGGGCCCTGAGTGAGGAGCTGGTATCTGGATCCCAAGGGGGATCATTCAATGAAAATGGCTCAGATGGAAATGGATGGGCCCAGGGTAGGTGGCAAGGAGAGGTGAGGATGCTGAGAGATAAGACTACTGCCCATGTGAGTTCTGCTGCTTTTCTTGAAAGGAGGCAGACAGAGAGAAAATGTCCTGAGGGTGATCTGGTTAGTTCAGGGCTTTGTGTAAGTAGTGGGGAAATATCAAAGCTGGGCCGAGAAACTTTCTTTGGTTCTTCTGACAGTGGAGCAGTGGAAAGGAATACAGAGGCCTAGGAGTGAGTCATGGTCTAGTAAACTGGAGACTCATCCTGAAAGTACTTAGAAGGGAAAAGAACATTAGAGATGGTGAGAGGAGCCTGGGCATTCCAGAATGTTCCTGTTACTCCTAACTTCATTCTAGATCCACATATTCCCTCCCACCTCTCCTAGCTAGTCCGGGTGATTATGGATGCATTTTAAGCCAGGATAGACCCCTTTCTTACCTGTTTCAAAGCCTTTCTCTACCAGATTGGCATCACAGGAAAATTCTAAAAGGAGAAACAAAGAAATTTTCTTAGAGTTGAGTGCTGACTTTCCCACCCCAGACCTTGGATTTGGGCAGATGAATGTCTGTCTATAGACTTTCCACGTTCTCTCATGGAGACGTCTGGAGGGAACTTGTCGCATATGGGCACCTGCTGGGAGAGCCCCTGGTATTGGTGGGATCAACACCCTGGCTTCTGGGTTCCACTCTATTCACTTAACAAACACTGGTCATGCAAAGTACACATTATATGGCACGAGGCCACAAGGAGCCATCAGACACAGACCCTGCCCTTGGGTAAGTTCCAGGAAGAGGCAGTAAGACACACACAGTGACAAGTGCCATAAGGAGTGTGGATGTTTTCATGTGTCCCACAAAGTTTGAATCCCTGTACTCCAAATTTGTTCCTTTGTTGTCACCATCTCAGTAAATGGCACTGTCATTGACTCAGCTGCTCGGGCATACAATCCAGCTGCCTTCCTTGATCTCCACTTTCCTTCTCACCCCTCCATGGTTCTTTTTTTTTTTTTTTTTTTTAATTTTTTTAAATGTTTTATTTATTTCTAGAAGAGAGAGAGAGAGAGCGTGAGCAGGGGAGGGTCAGAGAGAGAGGGATCACAGACTGAAACAGGCTCCAGGCTCTGAGCTGGCAGTCAGCACAGAGCCCGACGCAGGGCTCGAACCCACGAACCGCGAGATCATGACCTAAGCGAAAGTCAGACGCTTAACCAACTAAGCCACCCAGGTGCCCCCACCCCTCCATGGTTCTAACTTTGAATCTGAGACAGTGTTGACCACTCAACTCCCTTGCTGCCTCCCTGTCCCGGCTTCCATCATCTCTCTGCTGCAACAGCTTCCTTTCTGCTTCCACTCTTGGTTCCTACAATCCATTTTTCACTCAGAAATCAGAGTGCTCTTTTCAATAAAGTAAATTGGATGCCATTCTCCTGCTTAAAACCAATTGATAGCTTCTCATTGTACTTAGAATGGTGGCTGCCCCCTCATGACCTAGGAGGCCCTGTGTTGTGACCCTTCCCTACTTCCTCCATCTCATTTCCTGTTGCTCTGCCCCTTTTCTCACTGTGCTCCAGCCTCAGGCCTGCACAGGATCCTCCCTTTGCCCTTGGCACAGCTGGTTCCTTCTTATCCTTTAAGTATCATCTCACAGAGCATTTCTCCAGAGAGCCCTTCCCTGGCTTTTTGTCCCAAACTTGGCTGTTTCCTCAACTCCCAAGTTAAAGTACATATTACAATCTGAAGTTATCTAGATTTCTGATTGCTGATGGATGGTCTCTCCCAACTAAAATGGAGCTTCCTTATGTCCTACACCTCATCGGATTTATTTACTCCTCCACTCCAGCACCTGGCATTGTACAGGCACAATCAATGTTGAATGAATGAACAACTGGGTGAGGTTAGACCTTTGGCAGAGAGACAGAAACAAGGGGTGGTATCTTGGAGAAAGGCATTAAACTGGGGCCTGGAAGAGCAGCAAGTGGCAAACAGCCTAAGCAGAGGCAAGGAGGCAGGAACTCAGGGCAGGTGAGAGGCCAGTGCCCTTCTTGCCACCTTCTCCCCATCTGTTCTTTGCCCATGACAGCCTGCGACCTGCTGCAAGGAGCTCACTGGTGCTCAGTAACAAGACAGTAGGGGCTCTGCTGACAATTGATGAAGCTGAGACAGCCAGTCATAGCAGCTTTTAGATGCCATCCATCTGAGCTCTAGGAATAACCAGGCCTCCCAAAGAGAGGAGATTGGGCTTGCATAGGCACCAAGGCTGACTCACCCGAGCTGGAGTGGAAGGTCTGGTTGAAGGTACTCCTGCATCCCAAATCAAAGTTGGTGCTCCAGGCCACGGCCCCATTGCTCTTAGAATCCATAGTCTTCATGTCCAGCACAGTACCTGCCAATCTAGTCATGTTGGACTCTCTGGCTTGTTCTACATCGTCTCGTGAATCAAAATCGGTGAACAGGCAGACAAAGGTGTTATTGGATTTAGAACTTTTCAGCTCGTACACGGCGGGGTCAGGGTTCTGAATAGCTGTGGGCCAAGAGAACCTGGGTTAGGAAATGTCCATTTCCCCCCTACCCGAACCCAGGTGTGAGTTCAGATGCCAATCCAGATGGGTAAGAGCAGGGCTCTGTGGGGCTGGAAAGTCACATACTCAGGCTTTGATGCAAAAGAACATTTCAGAAACCAGTTGTTCCAAGTGGACTGGGAGTCAGAGACAGGTTTAAATCATGAGTCCTGACCGAGAGGCCAGGCTCTCAGTGAAGGCTCTCTACCTGGCCCTGCCTGCCATTCAAGAAAACCAGAAAGGGTTGGCTACTTAATATATTGCTCATTCTTTTTCTTAAGAGGAACTTCTTCAAAAGCACAGGGGGCTTACTAAGCCACAATATAGCACTGGAGGGACAAAACAGGCCTAGAAAAAGGGGCCAGCAGGGCAAACCATATGCCTTGGAATCTGGGGTGGTTTCCCCCAACTGAGACTGGGTACTGACAGGAATCAGAGGTTTATTATTGGCTGGCGTTAAGTTGGAAGGTGGGTCCCATCACCAGGAGATTTTTTTATTGATAACAGTTTTAGACAATAAATTGGGGCATGTGCGTCCCAGTCCTGGTTTTACTGTTCACTAGATACAGGGCCCTGTGCAAGTCACATCAGCTCCTTAAATGTCAGGAATTTCATCTAGAAAATGGAGATATTGCCTCCTCCACCTTCCTAACCAGGCTATTCTGAGAAACAAAGGGGGATTTTGTCCTTATAGAATTATATCAATAAACTGTAAAGCACTGAATAAATGTTAGTGATACTACCAGGACATTGCCGTAATAACATGCTACCGAGTTATACACAATTTCTGCTCTTCACCCCCAGGAAGCAGGGGCTGTTGGAGGCTTGTCCTCAGTGCTGAGAATCATTTTTCGGTATTTCTGTAGGATTTTGTGTTTTTAATGTAACTCTCATTGTTTATTCTTTCAGACCTCCTTGCCTTCAGAGGAGGAAGCAGAGGTTTGCTGGGAGGGTTAACACGCTGGGGCCACCCAGAGAGTTTAGAGCAGCACTGGGACTCGAGCTTCCTGCCCCTGTGGTTCTCTGCTCCCACAGCTCCTCACCATGCATGCAAGGTTTCTCAGGCCAGGGGTGCACCCCACATGTGAGGCCAGCCAGGGTGGCCTTGGCCATGCAGACTTCCGGCTGGACCCAAAACCAGGGAAATCAGCCTTTGGCATGGCCTTAGGTTGCTGAGTCAAGGCATCCCAAGGGTGTGGGGCTGTTCCTGAAGCAGCAGAACAAGGGTGGGTGCATGGTCACATGTGAGGGACATCCAAAGCTCTGGCCCCGAGGGATTCTGCCTTTTCCCCTCCAATGTCCACATATCTGGGGAGTCCAACATCACTGTGGGTTAAGGCCCTAAGGCATAAGTCTTACAAGGAGAGGAGAGACCAGAAGCCATTATGTGCCACAACACACCCCAATGGATTTTTTAGCCATCAGTGGGAGTCATCAGTGGGACTCGAAGGGGGACGTGGAAGGGTGTGGAGGTGCTGAGAGAATGTGTCCTTGAGGAGAAGACAGAAGATAAGGTGCCACCAGATTCAGTGTGGGCTTAGAGGAGAAAAAGGGTTGCAGTGGGGGCCAGATGTCCAACTTTGAGTCCTGGTTAAACACTCACTCGGGGCACCTGGGTGGCTCAGTTGGTTAAGTGTCCGACTTTAGCTCAGGTCATGATCTCACAGTTTGTGAGTTTGAGCCCTGCGTCAGGCTCTGTGCTGACAACTCAGAGCCTGGAGCTTGTTTCAGATTCTGTGTTTCTCTCTCTCTGGCCTCCCCTGATCACACTGTCTCTCTCTGTCTCTCAAATATGAAATAACAAATGTTTATAAACAAAACAAAACATTCACTCAAGTCCTAGAGCCAGTAAGCATCCGACTAGAGAAGGTTTAGACCACGCTGTCCAATATGATAGTCTTTAGCTACATGTGGCTGTTTAAATTAAAGCTAACCAAAATTAAATAAAATGAATATTCAATTAAAAATTAAAACTTCTGATTCCAAAACCAAACAAAAACTCCACTGAAAAGGAGAACTGAGAGCTTTCCCCTTATGTTCAGGAACGCAACAGAGACGTCTACTCTCACCACTGTTACTCACTATAGTATTAGAAGTTTTAACCTCAGCGGTCAGACAACACAAAGGAATAAAAGGTATCCAGATTGGCCAGGAGGAGGTCAAACTTTCACTCTTTGCAGATGACATGATACTCTATATGGAAAACCCAAAAGATTTCACCAAAAAACTGCTAGAACTGATCCATGAATTCAGCAAAGTTTCAGGATGTAAAATCAAAGCACAGAAATCAGTTGTATTCCTATACACCAATAATGAAGCAACAGAAAGAGAAATCAAGGAATTGATCCTTGATCAATTTTTTATGGCACCAAACCCCATAAAATACCAAGGAATAAACCAAAGAGGTAAAAGATTTATACCCTGAAAACTATAGAAAGTTTATGAAAGAAACTGAAGAAGGCATAAAAAAGTGGAAAGATATTCCATGCTCGTGGATTGGAAGAACAAATATTGTTAAAATGTCAATACTACCCAAAGCAATCTACATATTCTATGCAATCCCTATCAAAAAAAAAAAAAAAAAAACAAACACGACCATTCTTCACAGAGCTAGAACAAACAATCCTAAAATTTCTTTGGAACCAGAAATGACCCCGAATGGCCAAAGTAATGTTGAAAAAGAAAACCAAAGCTGGAGGCATCATAGTCCCGGACTTCAAGATGTATTACAAAGCTGTAATCATCCAGACAGTATGGTACTGGCACAAAAACAGATGCTCAGATCAATGGAACAGAATAGAGAACCCAGAAATGAACCCACAAATGTAGGGCCAGCTAATATTTGACGAAGCAGGAAAGAATATCCAATGGAACAAAGACAGCCTCTTCAGCAAATGGTGCTGGGAAAACTGGACAGCGACATGCTGAAGAATGAACCTGAACCACTTCCTTACACCATACACAAACATAAACTCAAAATGGATGAAAGACCTAAATGTAAGATAGGAAACCATTAAAATCCTAGAGGACAAAGTAGGCAAAAACCTCTTTGACCTTGGCCACAGCAACTTCTTACTCAACATGTCTCCAAAGGCAAGGAAAATGAAAGCAAAAATGAACGATTGGGACCTCATCAAAAAGCTTCTGCACAGTGAAGGAAACAATCAGCAAAACTAAAAGGCAATTGATAGAATGGGAGAAGATATTTGCAAATGCCATATCAGATAAAGTGTTACCTATAATGAACTTATCAAGCTCAACATCCAAAAATCAAATAATCCAGTGAAGAAATGGGCAAAAGACATGAATAGACACTTCTCCAAAGAAGACATCCAGATGGCTAATAGACACATGAAAAAATGCTCAACATCACTCATCATCAGGGAAATACAAATTAAAACCACAATGAGATACCACTTACACCAGTCAGAATGGCTGACATTAACAACTCAGGCAACAACTGATGTTGGTAAGGATGTGGAGAAAGAGGATCTCTTTTGCAATGCTGGTGGGAATGCAAACTGGTGCAGCTACTCTGGAAAACCTCCATACTGGAGGTTCCTCAAAAAATTAAAAATGGAACTACCCTTTGACCTAGCAATTGCACTACTAGGTATTTATCCAAGGGATACAGGTGTGCTGTTTCAAAGGGGCACGTGCACCCCAATGTTGATAGCAGTGCTAGTGACAATAGCCAAAGTATCAAAAGAGCCCAAATGTCCATCGATGCATGAATGGATAAAGAAGATCTGGTATATATATACACAATGGAATATTACTTGGCAATCAAAAAGAATGAAATCTTTCCATTTACAACTATGTGGATGGAATGAGAGGGTATTATGCTAAGGAAAATTAGCCAGTCAGAGAAAGACAAATATTATATGACTTCCCTCATATGAGGAATTTAAGATACAAAACAGATGAACAGAAGGGAAGTGAAGCAAAAATAATATAAAAACAGGGAGGGGGACAAAACATAAGAGACTCTTAAATACAAAGAACAAACCGAGGGTTGCTGGAGGGGTTGTGGGTAGGGCAATGGGTTAAATGGGTAAGGAGCATTAGGGAGGACACTTGTTGGGATGAGGGCTGGATGTCATACGTAGGGGATGAATCACTGGAATCTACTCCTGAAATCATTATAGCACTATATGCTAACTAACTTGGATGTAAATTTAAAAATAAATTAATTAAAAAAATAAATAAAAATTAAAACTTCATTTTAAGAGCTTAGTAGCTACATGTGCCTGGTGGCTACCATATTGGACAGTGCAGGATGATAGCATATTTCCAGTGTCACAGAAAGTTCTATTGGATAGTGTTGGTCTGCCACAGAATATGAGATTTTGAGGAAGGGTCTCAAGGGCTGAGTGTGGGTCTTAAAAACCATCTTTAAGTCTGTTGCGGGAGGTGACTCCATCAGGGGCAGGCCAAGTTTTGCTCAAATTTGCTAGTGAGATATCAAAATGAAAAACCAATAAATTAGGTCAGAAGAATGGAGGTGATTTTGGCCTCTCTCAAGTGTTGTTTTCATCAGTTGATACACTTTGGGCTTCCCTATCTGCATTTTTGCTATTGTTTCTCCTGCCCAGCTTCTCTACCTCTTATTGCCTCTCTTGCTCACCTCTCCTCCATGCCCCCCACCTCATTTTCTCCTTTGTGCTCATCCTCTAAAGTACTTGTCTAAAACGTGAAGCTGATCGTATCAATTTTTGTTCAAAATAATTCAGAAACTCCCTGTTGCCTATAGGATGATGCCTAAATTTCCTGGCATGACATTCATGGGCTGTCACGATCTGGAGAGCTTGAATTTTTTTCTCTCAGGTCCTTTATGTGCCCTATACTAGAGCTGCACCAAACTCTTCATAGTGGCATCCTGGAATGTAAGTTCCTTGACAGCAGAGGCCTGTCTCTGGTTTACTGCTGTATCCCTAGTGTGTGCCATATAGTAGGTGCTCAA